ATGTGCAGACCCTAGGGAAGGACACGCCCCCCGAGACCACGCCCCCTTCCGGAGCCCGAGGTGTCAGAGGCCTGATTGGTCGCAAAGCCTTCAGGTCTCCGTCTCCTGTCGGCTCTTAGCAGCGGTCCGGCCTCGGGAATCCGAGGTCTGTCGCTGCTGGGCCCCCCAGTTCGGTGGTGTCTACTGTCCCCACCCCGGCAGCAAATTGAGAGCCCCGGCGTTCCAGGCCCTTCGGCGGCAGTTTGCCTTGCATATCGCCCTGGTCCCCCTCACAGCTCATACTTCCCCCAAGACTCCTACAGCCTTCTCTCTGCAAGAATGGGCTTCTCCGACTCCTGCTCTCCAGCGCTTTGTAGCTTTCTCCTGTTTTAGCCTTTATGTATTTTACACACACACACACACACTCTCTCAAGCTATTTTCAGTGACTTTGTTGATCAGATGGGCAGGGTAGATCCCAGAGGCATTGGGAAAGAGAACCACCCACATTCCCACATTCCTTCCATGCCCACTCACCCGGATTCTGATCTCCATGGCATCCAGGCCTGGGTCACATGCCCTCCTCTGACCTCAACACGTGGCTGTGCCTGACACCCAGGTTGCAGTTTTTGGGTCTCAAATCCCTCAAGTCCCAGCTGCCAGGCACAGGCCAGTCACACACGGCCTCCGGTAAGGAGTCCATACTTGCTTTAATGTTCTGCTGTTGCCCTCTTAAAATTTATTATTTTGTGTTTGTTTTTTAAAAGCATTTTCATTTTGCACTGGATCCTGCAAATTATGTGAGGTGGCCTTGGCCAGAGACCTCAGAGGTTGTCCCTGAGCCCTACCATATTTCAAATGATGTTGACTTCTAGGTCCAGCCCTTTTTCCAGGATGGCAAACTGTTGCTTAATCACGGATTTCACTCTCCAGGGCCATGGCAGATCTTGCAAATCCACCCTCGCTGTCTTTCCTGGATGTGGCAGATGCTGCCTGGGTGCCCCGCTCAGGTCCGCTCTACTCTGCCAGTGAATCCATTCCCCAGCTGCTGTGTCAGCTACTCAGCTGCCCCCTGTTCTGGAAAATTGCCCTTGCAGGAGGGAGAATGGAGGCCCCATCCTGGGAAGTTACTCCACCCCCACCCTCCCAGCCAATAACCGACGGATACGGATACGGATACAGGTTACAAAAAGCTGGTTCAACTCTGTGGTGTGGTTTATGCTCCAGAGCCTTTCCCTGTGAGCAGGCCAAGGCCAGGCTTCGACTCTATCCCTGCCCAGCGTTTTTCCTTTCCCCTTTCTGTTTCACTCTTTTTATAGTTTTTTTTCTGAAGTGCACTCCCTCAAAAAATAAAAAATTACCTAGTGCCTGTCTTGAGCTGTGTTTTTAAGACAAGGGGTTCAACTTGATAAACACAGCATCAGATTCTAAATATAGTAAGTTCCACTGGAGGTCCATCACAATATTATTTTCAGAAAGTCACTCAAGCCCATGGTGACAGGTAAGATAGACCCAAAGGCATTCCAGCAGCGTTCCCTACCCCTCTGGCCAGCCAATCCCACAAGAGTCATACCAAGGACAAAACTGAACTGTTAACATCCCACTCAAAGGAAAGGCACTTCAAACCACCCTCGTATCTCCAATTTTATTACAGGACGTGTTGGGGACAGGGAGGAAAGTGGCAGAGGTGTGACAAGAGGGCAGCTGGGGGCCCTCCCCCGCCATGAGCTTTGAGGCACATGGGGGTCAGGCAGAAGCATCTGATGAGGGTGCCGAAAGCCCAAACAATCAGTCCCTTACTGCTTCCTGTGCTTGGAAGCACTGGGAAAGGTTTCGGGTCGGCCCTCCCTGTGAAGGGCATGGAAGAGGTCATGAACTTGGCTGAGCTCGCTAACTCATGCCTCATTTGGTCTTGCCTCCCAGAGGACATGCACTTGGCTGAGCTCGCTAACTCATGCCTCATTTGGTCTAGAGATCAGAAGGGAACGAGACATTTTGGTTTGAAAGGCTTTTTTTTCACCTCGGAGAAAACAGGCAGGGGCGTGGTAAGGGTGCAAAACACCCCGCAAACAGGACTCAGGCTGAATCTCAACTCTACCTCTGAGTGACGCTGGGCAAGTCAGTTTGTTTTCCTGAGACTCGGTTTCTTCATCTGCAAAACGGGAACAATTAATATCCACCTCACAGGCTTGTTGTGAGGATTAAATGAGAAAAGACATGTAATCTTAACAAAGTGCCTCAGCTAGAGAAGGCCTGGGACTGTGTCTGAGGAAGCGCCTGCCTGCCTTCCTCTTCCAGGTTTAAGGGTGGGGAGCAGGCTTGGCTGCAAGGCCTTAGTGAAAGGCCGGGGCCCTCATGGGCTGAGTGGAGAGCAAGGGTGCAAATCCACTCTAGCTGTCTTTCCTGGATGTGGTAGATGCTGTCTTGGTGCCCCACCAGGGGCAGTCAGACCCTCTGACTGTTTTTAAAAAACTAGAAGAGAAGGGAGAGAGGACTGTTTCTTCCCATGGGGGCAACTGCAGGGACATCAAGCTGGGCCCATCTAGGATTTCAGACCCAGCCATCATGCACAGCTGCTGGAGGAAGCCTTTGCCCCTTCCTTCTCCTTAGCACGGGGCTATAAAAAATACCTACAAATGGTGAGAAAGTTCACGTAAAAACACTTTCCTGCATGTATAAAAAAGAGACTGGCCGTGGTCAGTGGCTTGGGATGCGAACTGAGGCCCCAAGCTTGGCCAAGGAGTGTCAACACCCGTCCAGGGGTGGACAAGCTGGTCTGGGCTGCCCTGACAGCCGGACAGCCGGCTGCTCCTTGGCTGGGCTACACTCCGTGGAACTGAGGTCTCGGGGGCAGGAAGCACCACCAGGGCTCTGGTTCCAGCAGTGCTCCTGCCACCCTGTGCCGAGGTGGGTGGGGTGGTGCCTTGGGTCTGGGCCTCAGGGACCCCCTTCCTAAGGGCAGGAGATCTTCCCAGGCAGCTGGCCTCCAGCAAGTCCCCAAACAGGTTTGGGGGCCTCTCATCAAGTCGAATAGACTACACTGGTCTGGGGAGCCAAGGCCTGGGGTGCTGTATGGTTTCTGCTTCTGAAGGAGGGTTCTGCCCAGAGCCTCCAGATGGCTGTCTCTCGCGAGCCTGACCCCCTGGGGAGCGGGCACAGGAGGGCAGCCAGGGCTGTGGCCAGGAAGAAGGCTCCGGACAAAAACAGGAGCACTTCTCTGGCACCCCACCCCACGCCAGGGCTCCTTGCTGGAGGCCTTTCTTCCCAGCTCCTGCCCAGCCCCTTCTCAGGGCCCAGGGGGCGGCGCACTAGGGCTGGAGGAGGGGCAGGCCGCGCCGGAGGCCCTCCTTCAGGAACTGCAGGTAGGTGGCCGTGGACGGGTCTTCAAAGGTGGACGCGAAGCTGAAGGCGTGGTTCTCCACGTCCTCAGGCTTCATGGAGGTGATGTCCAAGAAGTAGTTGGCGTTGATGTGGTGGACCTTGGAGAAAGGCTGGGTGAGGTGCGGGGCCACCCAGGCTCAGAGCCCCCCTGCTCCGTCTGCTCGGCCCCTCGTGGGAGACGTGGCCACTCTCAGGCCTCAACTGCCCTCGCTGAGGCGGACGGCAACCAGGCAGAACCGTCGGAACCGACCCCGGGGCTGGCCGCCTCCCTCTCCTGCCTCTGCTCACACGGGGCCCTCCGACCACAGAGCTCACACACCTCGTCCACTAGCAGAAAACCTAATGCCCTTCAATTCACCTGTCCCTCGCCCCACCCCTTCTCTGCTCCCGTGACCCCTGAACTCTGCTCCCCTCTGTCAGGAAGAGCAGGAGATGCTGAGGCCCAGGCAGACCTCATTTCAAAGCCAGCTACACTGCTTTCCTTTTTTATTTTTTAATTCTCACCCGAGGATATGTTTTTTTTTTCCTTTTTCTTTTTCTTAGAGAGAGGGAGGGAGAGAGAAACATCGATGTGAGAGAGAAACACTGATCAGTTGCTTCCTATACCTGCCCATACGCACTCCGAGCAGGGACTGGACCCAAAACCCAGGTATGTGCCCTGGCCTGGAAGTGAACCTGCAGCCTTTGGGTGTACGGGACGGTGCTCCAACCAGCTAAGCCACCCGGCCAGGGCCCAGCTACACTTCTTACTTGTGCATCTGTCTCCAAATCTCTGGACCTTCTGAGGCTTGGATTCCTTGATTGTAAAGTGGGTGTTTGTAATCATCTAGCTCCCAGAGCTGCTGTGAGAATCCAACTACAGGATGCGCTTGGGTGCTTGTGAGGGGCCCTCAGGGAGAGGTAGGGTCTTGATGTTTGGCTGGGCCTGGGGTGGGGTGGGGGTCCCTGGTCCTCTCTACCTGTCACAAGGCCTGTCCCTCCTCCTTCCATCCCAGGGCTGACCGCAGTGGTCCAGGTGAGCCTTCCCTCCAGGCCACGGTCCTTTCCACGCTGCTGCTACACTGTGCCTACTGCTTCCCGGCCCCCTAGGTGCTGTTGGGGTCCCCCTTCCCATAGGAGCATCCTGACCCCTGCACGAGGCAGGCGGACTGGGCATCAGGATCCCCATTTTACAGATGTGACCACTGAGGCTCAGGCTGGCTAAGAGCCCAGCTAGGAAGTGGTGGAGCCAGACCCGAAGCCTGATGAGGTCTGTGAGCCTGTGCCCCTGGCCGGCTGCTTCCTCTCCCCACAGTGCCAGGCCTGGGCTGGTGGAGGTGGGGTGACCTACCACGGTGCCATTGGGCAGGCAGATCATCATCTCCACGGGGAAGCTGTACTTCTCCAGGTGCAGGTCTGCCAGCTTCTTGTGGGAGGGGTTCTCCCGGTTGTTCTGTGGGGACAGTGGGGCACACCCTGAGGCCTTGGCCCCCAGCATGGTCCTAGGGGCTCCCAAGAGGCTGTTTCCATCCACCCTCTACTCACTCGCAGGTCCTCCAGCTCCTTCACCAGGGACCAGGTGCTAATGAAGCTCTCGTTGAGGAGCGCAAGGATGGGCGAACTTTCCAGGACCGTCTCCCGGAGAGTCCGCCCGGAACCTGTGCAGGGAGAGGCCAGGCCAGGAGAGTGAGGCAACCCCACGTCTCACTGGGCTTCCATCAGCAAACAACCTCATGGACTATGCACCCGGGTGAAATAACAGAGTCTGTAGGTGCTGAATAAATGGCAGCTGTAACATCGAGAACATCCTGGCATCTGGGCTGAGACTTAGGGTGAGCCCTACCCAGGGACCTGTGGTCCCAAATCCACAAAACTGTGCCCCAGGCCTTTGCACAGACTGTTCTTCCACAGAAATACTCTTCCTCCTGTCACTTGACAAACTCCTACTCATCCTCCAGAGTCTCCTCTTAAATGTCACTCCAAGAAGCCTCCCCTGGCGCCCCAGTTACACACCCTCATGCCCCCTGGACCTGCCTGTGTAACGCTCACCAGCCTTGTACTTATTCACTCAGCGTCTGCCTCCTGCTCTACACTGTGCATGCCCCGAGGACAAGGACCACTCTGACTTCCTCACGGCAAGGCCCCCAGCACCCAGCCTAGGGCGGGGCCAGGAGGCCCCCAGGATGTTTGCTCATTGACTGGGCGAGGACGGGCTCGTCGTTTTACTCATCTTCACCCACTGGGTGACACCCAAAGAATCTGGCGCCCAGCAGGCCTTCAGTGAATGCTCTGCATAAGCGAATGCATGCCCTGCCTCTGGCACTGTTCTTGTTATCTCACGTGTGTGCACACTGTGCCGAGCACAGGCACTTTCACAGCCATTTCTCATAACTCCGGGAGCTAAGTGTGTTTCCCTCCTTTACTGTTGAGAAAACAGAGGCGCAGGGAGAAGTCACTTGGCCAAGGGTTCTGAGCTGAAAATGTCTGAGTTGGGCTCAGCTTGTATCCAGCAGCTTCCTCTGAGCTCAGCACAGAAACCTCCCAAGCCCTCACCCGCTGCCCCTGCCCCTGCAGTCCCCTCATGCTCCTACAGGGGAGGCCCAAGGTCTTCGCCTCCTGCACCCCACAAAGTGTGAAGTTTCTCCCGGCCTCCCCTGGGGATGGCCAGGTCTCTCTCACTCACCTCAGCAGGACTGGTCGTCCAGGGCCCCCCACAGCAGGATCGAGTGCACCAGCTTGTTCTTGGCCTTCGCTTGGTCGAAGGCCTCGGTGAATGGCAGGTAGGTGACCTGGGCCAAGCCGAGAGAGAAGCTACTGTGTGCAGCCTGGGTCCCATTCAGGTGCTGAGTGTAATGTGTATGTGTGTATGTGCATGTATAGTGTGCGTGTGCGTGTGTGTGTGTGAGTGTGTGTGTGTGAAGGGGTGCTGCTGAGATGGGGGATACCTCCTCCAAGCTCTGAATGGCAAAGGGAGGCTCCCCGGGCACCACTGGGCCCTGCAGGGAGAAAGCCCAAGAAGCAAGCCCTACACCAGTGATAGCGAACCTTTTGAGCTCGGCGTGTCAGCATTTTGAAAAACCCTAACTTAACTCTGGTGACGTGTCACATATAGAAATTTTTTGATATTTGCAACCATAGTAAAACAAAGATTTATATTTTTGATATTTATTTTATATATTTAAATGCCATTTAACAAAGAAAAATCAACCAAAAAAATGAGTTCGCATGTCACCTCTGACACGCGTGTCATAGGTTCACCATCACTGCTCTACTCATAGCCCAGCGGCCTGTGCCCACCTGCTGCTCCCACAGCTCCAGCCCCCGCCCCATGGATCCTGCCCCTGCCCTCACGCATGCCCAGCCTCACCTTCTTGAAGGGGTACATGGCCACCTCCAGGCGCCGGGCAGCCTCCTCCCAGCTCAGCTCCTGCTGCCACCTGATCTCCTCAAACACAAACTGGAGGGGCTCCCCCGAGGGCAGGCGGCTGTCAATCATGTTGCCATCCTCATCCAGGATCACGGAGGGTATTGAGGGGCCTGTGGCCTCCAGCTCCATCTAGGCCGGAGGTCAGTGAGGGATGACCTCAGTGAGGGAAACGGAGGCCCAGGGAAGGGGGGGCCTGGTCAAGTCTGCGTAGTGAGTCCAGGCCCGTGTCCAGCCAGGGCTCCTTCACTGCGTGAAGCTGCCTGAGGGCCGTGGCGGATGCTGGGTTCTGTGTCCAGAAACAGATGCCAGGAGCTCCGCCCTCCACCCTGCACCGCGCTGAGGCTCCTCGCCAGCTGGGCACCCCCTGCAGCCAAGCCCTGCCTTCCTAGCCGGGTAGGGACCGGGTGTGTGCTCACCTGGGGTATGTAGCCGATGTCCACCTCCATATTGCTGTTCTCACTGGCCCCATACAGCCACTCCATGTCCACATTCAGAGACCTGGGGTCGGGTGAGAGGGTGGCCAGGGCAGAGCACTGTTAGCAAGGCCCACGAACCACATGCCAGACATCATGTTGCTGAAAGCACACAGCTGTCCCGTTTTACAGATGAGGACCCTGAGGCGTGGCAAGCTGAACCCAGGGCTCAGCGCTGCTGGGACTCGGACTGCAGAGCCTGGGCCCTTTCCTCTCCCTGGGCAGCTCTCCCTAAGACGGCAACCGCAGCCCCTCCAGTGGCCCAGCCTTCACCGTTCACCAAGGGCTTTCCCATCCGCGACTCTTGTATTGCCCTCGACCCCTCCAGGCAGAGGTCACCAGTGCATCCCCCAGGACACAGTGGAGTGGAGTGAAAACCTGGCACAGTCTGGCCTGACCAGGTGCCACCTGCAGGTCTGCCACATGGGGGCGCCCGAGGACTGACAGCCAACCACTTTGGTCACAGTGAGCTGGGTGCCCTCGGAGGGGTCAGCAGTCCCTGGGCCGGGTCATTTGCCCCCCTCATTCTGTTTCATCCAGTCAGGACCCCCACCTTCAGCCCTGGGGTGGAGGCAGTGTGGCTGGGCTGAGCCGGTGAAACACACTGCTGAGCAGCGGGAGGAGGACTAAAAGGAGTGCTAGGTAGCCACTCTGCTCCTGGGGCCACTTTCTCTTCCCAGGTTATCCCGACCACCCCCTCACCCCTGCCAGCCTCCTGTCTAGAAAACGAGGGACCTGAGGCCCAGAGAGGGCCAGGGCCTTGCCCACAGACACGCAGTCCGCTGGTGTCACGGCTGAAACTTAACTCTGGCCTCCCTGCTCCCAGCCCACGTTGTATCCCTGTACAGTCACTAAGCAGCCACTTGGGAATCAGGAAAGACCTGAAACCAGGGACCTCCAGGTCCCCTGCCCCCCCGACAAGAGGGTGACCCTGAGCCAGTTGGGCAGGTTGGCAGTGGCTGGCACAGAGCCATCCCAGGAGCCCCCTGAGACCCGGTGGTGGCAACTACTGGCAGTGAGGGCCTGCTGTCCTCAGGCCTTTGCCTGTGCTGTTCCCTCTGCCTGGATAAACCCTCCTCACCCCCCAGGTCTCTGCTTAGATGCCCCTTTCTCTGAGAAGCCTCTAGATCTCAACCAGTCGAGCCCCTGCCCACCTGCTGGCCTCCCCGAGGGTGGTCTGAGAGGCTGTGGTTATGGTCAGCATTATGAGGGTGGGGCGGCTCCAGCTGCACTGGGTCCCGGGCACAGAGTTGGTGGGCCAGGCCCTGCAGCACCTGGGACGCGCTTGTCAAGGGATGAAATGACCCTCCTCAAGCTGCCTCTTCCTGGTCAGCTCCAGGTCCCTCCCGAGAGAGGGGGCTCTGGGAGCAAAGGGGCAGAGACTGAGGGGCCTCTGGGCACCTGCTTCCAACCCTGGAGCTGGAGGCTTGGGCCCAAGTTCCCACCTGTGGTTGGGCACGAAGAGCCGGAAGTCACGCACGTGGGTGGCATCTTTGGAGAGGACGATGTGGCCGGTGAACTGGCCGGGCGAGAACCAGAAGGGGAAGTCGGGCGGCTCACTGAGCTGGAACTCGGCGTGGATCCTGGGGGGAAGGAGCCCAGCTGGGAGCAGGCCTCCCACAGCTGCCCCAAAGCCTGGGACCCAGGCTCTGTGTTGGGGACAGGGCTGGGCAGGGGGCCAGGACAGTGTGGGGCAGGGAGAAGGCACGGGCCTCCAAGCACCACCCATCCCCAGGGCCTGGTTCACATGCTGACTTCGGAAGCCTTGCCCGACCCTCCTCTGAGCTCACACAGTCTGTGTGTGTGACTGGCGTCACAGTTCCATACACCCCTCTTCTGTGTGGGTGACCATCACAGCCCAGCCCTGTGCTAAGCGCGCTCTGTGCACTTTCCTCCTGGGAGGAGGTCACCACCTCCCAGATCCTCACAGGAGGAAGCTGAGGCTCAGAGAGTCCAAGACCCAGGGTGCTCAGTGGGGGAGGGGGGCTCTGAGCCAGGCCTGCCTTCTGCTTGCTGAGCCCCTGTGCGGCCTGGAGCCCCAGGTCCCGAGAGGGAGGGAAAGACAGGGCTGCGAGGGCTGCTCACCGGAACATCACGGTGTAGTAGAAGTCGCTGACCGCTGTCACACAGGCGACTGCCCCCTGCGGGGCAAAGCGGGTCTTCACGAAGGGCCGCGGGTGGAACATGCTCAGGAGCCGGTGGATGATGACCTAGGGCAGCGCAGCGGGACCGGGTGGCTGTGGGCCCTGCAGGCCTGGGGTTCAGGGTGGAGGTGGGTCTGGAGGGAGGTGGACAGCAGGGGGTAGGCCTGGCACAGGGTCCGGTGCAGACTGGGCGGGGTGCAGGGCCCAGGGCTCCCCTCACCTCCTTTCCCTTGGGTGGTGGCGGGTAGAAGCGGTTGTTGGACAAATAGCCAGTGAAGACGCTCAGCTCACTGGGGATGATCCACCAGGGCTCGCCCAGCTCTGCCTGGCCCCGCGGGGGGAGGAAGGGCCGGAAGTGGCGGGCGGCAAACTGTGCACGCGGCAAGGCTGCGGTTGTCCAGTTGCGGAGGCCAGACAGGGCCAGACGGGAGACCTGGGGCGGGAAAGCCGAAGCTCTGGGGCAGGGGCACCACGACTTTGGGGTCCCTGTCCCATGTGTGGAGGGGGCTAAGGTCAGAGTTTGGGTTTGGAGCCAAGTCTGAGGAGAGAGGCAGTCACCACTTTTAGGGGGAGGAAAGGCCATCCCCAGAGAGTGCCCTGGGCCACCCTGGCTGGGTACCCGGCTCACTTCTATCTGATGGGCCGACAGGCAGGGAGCATGAGGGCCAGAGACTGTGCAGGCCAGTCCGCACACCGGCCTGGAGTGGAGCATGCAGGCCCCCTGAGTACCCCCTTCGGCTGCTCCTCCCGCCCTGGGCTACAGGGGCTGTCCCTTCCCACCGAGGACTCAGCCCACGACAGTGAGTGCCTGGCTCCCCTGGGACACTCAGCCACCAGGAAGCTGCCTCTGTCTTTTTTAAAAAAATATATTTTATTGATTTTTGACAGAGAGGAAGGGAGAGGGATAGAGAGTTAGAAACATCGATGAGAGAAACATCGATCAGCTGCCTCCTGCACACTCCCCACTGGGGATGTGCCCGTAACCAAGGTACATGCCCTTGACCGGAATCGAACCCGGGACCCTTCAGTCCTCAGGCCGACGCTCTAACCACTGAGCCAAACCGGTCAGGCGCTGCTTCTGTCTTTGACAGCAGCAGGTCCCTTTCCTGTCCCCACCTCGATGGCGATGGCGGTGGGTGGGGGCACAGGCTCAGAGAGAAGCGGAACTGGGAAGAGAGGGGCAGGGAGCTCCCACTGAGGGAGACGGACAGGCAGGTCCTCACAGCAGCACTGGCTGTGCAGGGCCAGGCATTGCCCGCCCGCTGGGTCCTGCTCACAGGGTCCCGCTCACTGGCTGGCAAGCCCCGCAGGGGAGCTGCCTGCAAAAGGGGCTGGGCTCTGCGGGGCTCTGCGAGGGGGGCGGGCTGGGGGTGCTGCTCCTCCCCCATCTCCCCTGTAAGTGCAGGTTCTCACTGCTCTGCAGGGGATTCATTTGCTCATTTAGCTTCAACCCAACTCTAGGCTCATCACCACCAAACCCATCTCCACCCAGAACTTGGCATGGAAGGTCAAACCTGTGCTTCAAACCACTTACTGGACTCCCCCCTGACATCCCCGAAGTGCCTCAACCTCAATCTGTCCAAACTGCCCCCATCTGTCTCCACCAGACCTGCTTCCCTCCTCCGGTCCATGGGGCTAACGGCCACCACCCACCTGGCCGCCCGCCAGAAGCCTGAGTCATCCTCCCAGTCACTTCCCATGAGTGGCCACGCCCTGCACCTCCCCGCCCTGCGCCTCCCGCCCGCAGCCTCCAGGCTGTCCTTCCTCCATCACCTGCTCCCAGGGTCCTCATCCGGGATGTTTAGGTCCCATCATGGGCTTGGACCTTTCCACAGGGCCTCGGGCCCGAGCGGGGCTGGTCAGGAAAGCGTTTGTCAGGCATCCTGCCCACCCCACAGCCCCTGTCAGGGGCAGAACCTCAGGTCTGCGTCATCAGAGTTCAACGGAGCACCTGTCAGGTGCTAGGGGCCTGGGGATGGGGTGCAAACGTGGGGGACACAGGCCTGGCCCTCAGCAAGCACCGCCTGCGGGGAAACGACTGCCCTGCAGAGAGCAATGATCTAGTGAGGCAGCTGCACCAACAGTCCCTAGTGCACTCGCTGTGTCCTCCAACCAGGTCCTTCCTGCCTCTGCCTCACCTGGCCAACCCTCCTCCTCCCGCATCCTGTCAGGCGTCACTGCCCCAGGAAGCCCTCCCAGATCCCCACCTGGGTTCCAGGCTGACGCTTATCCCTCCTGCCTCCCCCACCAGACTGTGTGCCTGGACCGCAGGGATGGCATCGCACCCGCTTCTGGACCCCCAGGGCCTGGCACACGGGGTGCACAGAGAGCAGCTGATAAAGGCAGACGGAAAGAGAAGGAAAGATGAACACAGCCCCATTCCCAGGCGGCGAGTGCACACAGATGGCCCTCCTATCTAAGGCCCCACCCCAACTCACCCCTAGGAACCCATCTTTGCTCTTGGTCATGGACTCCGGGAGCAGAGGCTGGAATCGGGCTTCTATGGTGAGTGTCTCCTCGCTGGGGTCAGGGGGCAGCTCCTCCTCCTCGTAGCTGGTTGTAGGAGTTGACCCTACGAGACACAGATGGAGAGGCCCTGCCCGTAGGCATCCACTCTGGCCAGTGACTCAGGGAACTACGCCTGGAGCTGGGGGGGGGGGCGGGTAACAGTTAACAATCGCCCAAGTAAGAACCAACATGTGTCACATTTTAGTTTCAGAGTAGCCCTGTGAGGCAGATACCGTTACTACCAACTCCTGTTTTATGATTGAGAAACTGGAGGCTCAGAGAGGTGATATCACTTCTTCAAAGTCACACAGCGAGGTAGTGGGAGAGTCAGGATTCAAACCCAGGCCTGTTTCACTCCACACCCACGATGAACCACGACCCTCTTCGGGGGAAGTTAAGATCTCAGAGCCTCAGTTTCCTCAAAGAAACAGAATCAGGCCAACTTCGGTGTCATAGAAAGAGCACTGGTCTGGCAGTGAGGAGACTCGCTTCCCCCTGATCCCCTGGGTAGCATCATTTCCACCTTTGTATGAGGAGGGCTGGACTGGCGGTGGCTGGCCTTGATTTCCCAGATCTCTTCCTGCTCAGAGATGGGCCGACTAAGTCTGTAACCTTCCAAGTGTAGAAGGAGTCATGATGGAGGTTTAAGGGAGAAAGGAAGCCTATTTCAAAGGAGGTGACAAATAGAAGGGCAGGGCCTCAGGACACAGAATGGAATAAAGCAGCGGTGGGTGCTGTCACACCTGCTCTCCCAGGGCAGGTTCCTGGGAGGGGCCGTGCGCGGCATCTGCTGACAGACTGCATGGGTGCGTTCGAAGCAGTTCTTAACCGGGATCATCAGAATCCCCCAGGATGCTTTCTACACTTACAGATGCCCAGGGCCCATCTCAGACCTACTGAGCAGGAATCCGGAGGGGCTGGAATCAGCAAACTGCTCTTTAATTGGCACTCCCAGGGCTCCTGATGCAAACCCCCGTCCTACAGAATCACTGCTATTTCTGCATTTGTAAGTCCATGCGGCAAATCTTCCCTAAAAACGGCAACCTGGGGACCTCCGAGGCGGGGACAGTAGGAATGAGCAGGGTTATTAGTCTGCTTGCTTATTTTACTGTTGTCCCAGATTATTATTAATAATAAGGCCCAGCATTTTATGGCCCTTTCGTTTTTTAATAAAAAGTTTTATTTCCTGACTTATAAGTAACAGTTGCTCATTCTAGACAGCTTGTAAAACTTTTAAGGTATAAAGCAGAAAATTAAACACTCATAAATGTACCAACTAGAGAGACTGTTGGCCCCTTGTCACTGCTTAGAGTTGGTGTTTCGTGTTTTTGTTTTTGTTTTTGAATTTTGTCTTCCCAAAACTTGGTCTAGTTTTGCACTCACGGTGGCCTCAAAGGTAAGGGGATTCATTTTAAAAAAATTAAAATGGCCCCCAAGCCCAGTAGGCTTGGCCAGCATGTCATTACTCTTGCTCACTGGCCATAAAAAAGGACGAGGAGGTGGCCGTGTGGCTGCGTGGCTGCGTGTGGAATTAAGAGGTTGGAGCCAACCCGCAGGGGGCCGACCCGCATACCCGCCGTCTGCTTTTACCACAGAACTGACTGTCACGAAGACACTGGCCCATGTCTGCCCGGCGAATTAGCAGTTCTCCTCCGACGCTTCTCCTCGGGCAGTGACCACAGCCCCCAGGACCCAGAAAGCTCACCACGGGCTTTGGTGCTTACTCACCGGAGAGCAGCTGGCATCGCTCTTGCCTTTCCCATCCATTGACCTCCTTACACTGGGCCGCTTGGGTAACAAGTAGGTGCCCAAGATCGTAAGTTCAAGAAATGTCACCAGAAATGGACACAGAGGTTGGGGTGGTGATGAGAGAGCATTTTAAAATTCACTAGGAGCCTGGTACATGAATTCATGCATGCGTGGGGTCCCTTGGCCTGGCCGGCGATTGGGCCGATCGGGGTGTTGCCCAGTCCCAGTCAGGACCCCTGGGGCCGGCCAGCTGTGGGGGAGGGACCGTGGGAGATTGGCCGGCCACAGGAGTTTGGCTGTGGGAGCTCACTGACCAACAGGGGGCAGCTCTTGCATTGAGCGTCTGCCCCCTGGTAGTCAGTGCGCATCATAGCAACCGGTCGTTGGTCATTCGGTCGCTTAGGCTTCTATGTATATAGATTAGATGTTTCAGGCCTTCATCTTTACAAAACACAACAATTACGAAAACCCAACAACCACAGGTCACAGCCGGGCAAAAATGGGTAGCGAGATGGGACAGGCATCCGGCAGCACCTAAGAGTTTTATGTTCAGTAAAATAATCAGAATAGCTCCTATGGCCTATCTACTGCTCACCAGCCACTGCTGATACTCTCTCTAATCCTGAAATCTGTGAGCTGGGGCAGGACCTGGAGCCGATGTCCCTGCTCTGCACCTTCCAGCTGGGGCCGGTGAGCCTCCCTGTGCCCCAGGCTCCCAACCTGTACCCATGGGGATGTGACGGGTCAGCCTCACAGGCATTGCAAAGAGTAAAGAGAGAACTCACAGGAGGTGCTTGAAGCCATGTTGGCCCCGAGGAAGTGGCCAGGGGATGCTAGCTAGTCGTGTGTGAGTGTGTGTGTGTGAGTGTGAGTGTGTGTGTGAATTCACACGTGAGGAGGACAGATTGGAGTGTATGTGAGTGTGTGTGTGTGTGAGAGTGTGTGTGTGTGTGTGTGTGTGTGTGTGTGAGTGTGTGTGAG